AAATGAGTCTTTTTCCAACATGAGGGAGTGCAGAGCCAGTAGAACCAAACATCTACATTACTGGTCCATTGCCAGGACTTTAAATCTTTAATTCCATTGAGAACTTGAGGTCAGTCCTCAAGAGGCAGATAAACAAACAAAAAACAACAAATTCTGACAAACTCCAAGCAGTGGTTGCACAAGAATGGTCTGAGGTCAGGACTTGGCCCTGAAGTGGACTGGCAGCGTCCCAGGGTCCTGAAAACTGAGGTCCGACACTTCAAATGTTGACTTTTTAAATAAACTTAAAGCAATCGTCAATCGTGTCAGCACAGCTTTTTAAAGTTATAAGATGCTTGTAATGCCACTTCAGTGTATCATTGAGACTTGAGACAAAACAAGATCCCAAAACAGTGAAGCAGTTTGTGAAAACTGACACGCACCATTCTCAGAAGTGTTGGCACGAGTGTACGACGTCAATCTAAACGGCTTCAGATACGTCTGGTTCAGCAGTTATTTAAAGTTTATAGTTCTGGCTACACTGCATTCAAACTACTTGGCACCGAGCAGTCCAGTTATTATGACAAGTTTAATGGTTTGCTGTTTTTCTGTCAAACTATATGTAAACAGAAGGGGCGTAACAAGTTGGGGTGTCAGAATAAGACATGTCTGATTGGCATACAGATGTCATCATGTTCATGTATCTGGAAAGTTTGTAGCCAAGTACAGGTGAATCAAAAAATATATAGAATATTGTGAAAAAGTTTTTTTTTTTGTCCATCATTTCAGAAAGTGAGACTCGTTCTATAGATTCATTAAACACAAGTGAAATATTTCAAACCTTTATTTCTTGTTATTTTCATTATATCTTACAAATAATGAAAAACTACACATCAGTGTCTCATAAAATGAAAATATTGTGCAGAGGATCAATATTGTGACCTCCTGGTGTCACAGCCTGATCAGCTGATCATCTCCTGGACATGAGCTACAAATGTCTCATTCTTCAAGTCCAGCCACTCCTGAACCACAGAAACATCAGAAGCATCTTACCTGCTGAGGAGACAAAGAACTGGACTGTCTCTCAGTGGTCCAACGTCCTCTTTTCAGGTTCAAGTAAAGTTTCATGTCATTTATAAATCAAGGTCCCAGAGTCTGGAGGAAGAGGAGAGGTCCAGGATCCATGTTGTTGAAGTCCAGAGTGAAGTTTCCACAGTCAGTGATGGTTTGGGTCCATGTCCTCTGCTGGTTCTGGTCCATTGTGTTTTCTGAAGTCCAGTCCTCGCAGCATCTAGCAGGACATTTTAGAAACTTCATGCTTCCTTCTGCTGACGAGCTTCATGGAGATGCTGGTTTCATTTTCCAGCAGGACTTTGCTCCTGCCCACACTGACAAAGGTACCAACATCTGGCTGAGGAAGATTCTCATTTACTGAGACACAGTTTTAGTTTTCATTATTTATAAGCCATAATGATCAAAATCACAAGAAATAAAGGCTTAAAATATTTCACTATGTGTAATAAATTTATGTAATATTTGAGTTTCACTTTCTGAAACGACATAAACAGATTGAACTTTTTCCACGATGTTCTAATTTTATTGGATGTACAAGTAAACACCTTTGTTGCATTCTTTAAGGGAGTTGAAGTCATTTTTAAGTTAAAGTACTCTCCATGTGAATGTCAGGATACCTCCAGGAGTACCAGTACACTGAACTGGAACAACACAGACAATGTTACTCATTTACCCGTCAGGGCTCATGAGGTTATGGATAATTACGTAGTACAAACGGGCAAATTCAGAGTCAAATTAATAACAGAAAGAGCTTTAAAGATAATTATCTCAACTAAACTAAAATGTTACTCAAAACAAAGCCCACTTAAATCATCAAATAGGTTCAAAGATCATATTCAGCTGAAACTGAAACTAAAAAAGTTACATAATTGAAGTTAAGATTTAAAACACTGACAAGACAAACTGCATTTGTTGAATACATCGAAGATATAACTCACATCACTGTGACTTGATGAAGTTTTTATGTGTATTCTTTTTGTAAACCAGTCAATCGGTTCACATTTTGTATCCAAGCAGCCAGACATTTTTAAAAGTGCTCTCGAGTGATAGTTCAAGTTTTCTGAAGGGTTTTCATAAAGAAAAGGTGGGGTGTGTGTGCGTGTGTTTGTGTGTGCGTGTGTGGGACTCGATCCAGTCCTTGTACCTGACTAGAACTAAATACTGAGAGGAGTACTTAAAAAATGAACAAATTGGACAAGAGAAAAGAAGTGTCACACGACTAAATAAAGAAAATGAAGTGTAACCTAAAAGCAATCTCTTTAAGAATTAGTAAAAGAAATGTAAAAAAATTAAAAATAATCAAGCAAAGACCTGATAGAGGACCAGATTAGAGGTCGACAAAGTTTCTCTATGTCTGATGTCTGTAGAAATCGAGGCAGCTGACGGTCGATAGACACGACCACTTTTGTTTATTTTTGTTCATAATGTATTATTCATTTAATAAAATATAACAATAATTGCATTAACTTACAAAAACGTAAATAACAACCCATGATATACTTGAAATTAATAAATAGGAGAGCGTTCACATTTGAAAAAAAGTCCAATTACGTTGGCTGACCATCTGTTTGCACAGCCTTCAGGACACCTTAATGATCTAAATACCATTTTCTGTCCACCCAGTTGTGTCGTCTGTGGTATTTATACAGGCTAAACTGAAGAAATGGGAACAAACTGGGTCTTTGTGGCAGGCTGTTGGCAACAAAGCCTTTAAATCCCATTTAAAGTTTACTCTTGGCCAAGCCGTCACATCAACGCAGCACTGGCTGTGTTGTGGTCTGTTTAGGCCTTAAACGATTCAAAGGCCGGGGTTAAGTAACTTAAATAAAACAAAACATTCATTTAAACTAAACTGAATGACGGAGCAACCCATGTCCAACAAAATCTTTGAAAATGTTTAAAAAGCCTGAAGAACTTCTGACACAGGACATCTTTAAAGATCACACAAACATGCTGGGAAACTAACAAACAAATGAGGAAACAACTCAAGACTTTTGCACAACCAGAAGGCTTAAAAAGCATTACATGTGAACAAATAATCTGTAAACACATGGCTCTTTTGATGCCTTAGATCACACGTGTCAAACTAAAGGCCCGAGGGCCAAACATGGCCCTTGCTAACATCTTATCTGGCCCCAGTACGATATTTTTAAAGGCAATCATTTTACCGTTTCTCATTTTACTTCAAAGCTTAGCTTACTTTCTACCGTTTTTAACTTTATTTTATTTAGTGCAGACTTCTCATGACAGATGGCTAACTTTAAAGCTAAAAATAATTTGTTTGAATTTTTTGCGTAATCTTTGATTTTGATGCAGAAAACGCGACAGAACGTCAAATGAGAGCGAAGAAATCAACCAAGAAAAGCTGCCAGGACTGGAGTTAACGCCGTCCCTCCTACATTTGAGGGTATATTTAATTTAAAACTAGATTGATCAAGATACGTTTTTAATGACTATTCTCAAGAACCTAGTAAAAATACATAAATAAAAAGCTTTATGTTTTTTGCCCCAAGCCAGCTGCGTAGTAATACTTGCAAACTAAAGTAAAACAAATTGCCTGTTTCTTTTATACTTGTGTATTTGAGTATACTATGTACTTTTATGATGTTTTATTTGTTTTTAAGTGGTTTGTACGTCTCTGGACCTGGTGCCTTCTTGGCCAGGGCTCCCTTGAAAAAGTGATTATTTTATTCTCAACAGGTCTCACTTGGTTAAAAGAGGTTAAAGAAAATATATATATATATTTTAAGAGATCGACATGAAACTTGTAGAAAATGTTCCTTGGTGAGCGTTCAGAACTGTTCCAGCTCTTTTAGAGTTTAGAATAATGTGAATCAGTTCATTTTCAATAAACAACAATTAAATTGTATTTACCCTAAAGTCTGAGCTTGTTACCACAGAAAGTTATGTTATTACAGTTTCCACATTATTCTGGTGAAATAAAAATCTGGACAGAAAGCTCAGATTGGTTGATTTATGAAAAACAGGAAGTTGAAAACCTGAACTACTAATCCATTAGGTTGGAGAAAATGTTTTTGTTCATTAAGGAAAACTAAGTAGTTTTTATATCCGGCTCTTATACGTCATCATTTATTTTAAATCTACTTTACCTGCCTTTATTTACTCTGCTGCTGTTTTCTATCAGGAGCTTCCTTTAAAAACTTGAACATTTCCTTTTAGTGATTATTAGTTTTTCTTATTCTGCTTCTGTTTATTAGCGCACAATAGCACAAATTAAAAAAGGCCAGTCTCTCAAACAGAAAGTAAACTAGATGCCAAATATAATTCTGAGTATTTTTCCAGCTTATGATGCAGGCAGATTCTGATTATTTCAACCCACTAGATAAGACAGTGGTTTTTAGGTGGGAAAAATCTAAATGTTCGTAGTTAGAAGCAAAGTTGCAGCAGCTGCAGAGCTCTGACAGGTTTATCCCCTGCAGGAGGAAAACTAGAGCTGAGGAATTCACTGAGAACTGCTGAAATTCATTAGAAACTGCAGGAGTCTTTCTCCAGGGCTTCCTGCAGGCTGCTTCCATGTCGGGGCCTTCATGCAGCAGCTCGGACTGGCTGCTGAGCACTCACCTCCAAGAAGTTCATCAAGAGAGGGGGCAAGACAGAACATCTGAGAAATGTGGGTCACTGGATGTTGTGGCAGCAGCAATGCAAGACGATACTGTGCACGCAGCCAGCTCTCTGCTTTTTTACAACCAGCCTCATACAATTCAATGACAGCCAGCCCGCCGTCTGTTTGTACAGCTCTCAGTGTGGAACAACAAAGCTGACACCAATGTTTAACTATGAACTCACCGTGCCAGAAATCACCCACCATGAACCTCCTTCAACTTAGTTTAACTGTAGTTCAGCAGCTCCGAGCTTACACGAACACTGGCGGAACATTTCCGTATTCAATTCGCACAAACTGGTTGTAAAAGTGTGACGACTCTCACCAGAAGCGAGTGGCGCCGCTTCGACCAGATTCCCCGACCTCGGAGCTTCTTTTCAGGCCGGATGCCGTCTTCCCCTCCGAGCGTGAAAAACACACCAGCTGCTTTCTTCTTTGTGGCTCTGTCGATACTTTCTCCTCCGCAGTGTCGCCTATGTCCGCCGGCTAGCAGCGTCCGGCGCCATGGTTTCTTCTCATGCTTCAAAGTTTAACCGCGTATAGAAAATGGAACACTCTGTCGATGGTTGCTTTCCGACCTGAAGATATCCGTGAAGAAGATTACTTGATCTGTGTGAATCCTCTCCGTCAGCTGACGCTGCCTTCTGCCACCGAAGCGCCGCCGAGCTAACGAGCAGTTAGCGGGGAAACAGTACCTCCTGTCGGTAAGTGCAGTAGGTGGACCAAAAATCTGTCACCGTGGCGCCACAGCGCCCCCTGTCGGTAACTATGGGACATTGCTTAAAAAAGTAAATGTGGCGCCACAGCGCCCCCTGTCAGTAACTATGGGACGTTGCTTTAAAAAGTAAATGTGGCGCCACAGCGC